CCCCCCCCCCATCAGCTCCCGGGCACGTTCTCCCAGACTCGAGTTTTCAGAAAAGGCTAAAATGACCTGGCATTAAATTGTGGAAGTTCAGGGGGAAGGGAAAGCGGCAGGGCCAGAGAGACGCCCCCCTCAGCAGTGATTCTCCAGCTTTTCTGAACATTTAACCACAATGTGAAATGCATCTTACAACACAACCATGCAGGGACAGACTTGTGTAACTAAAATGGGTTTCATGAAGCAGTATTCTACACTAGAGTGACCAATGATATTTTTCTTTTTTAATGGCCACACCAAGTTGATTTTGCCACATACCAACCAGTGAGGACCTAATTTGAAATACCCTTTCACAACATGGCCCCACAACTTCAAAGGATGCACCAGGACCTGAGGGGCTCCTCTCTCCCTCTTCCCCCTTCCTTCTTTCAAAAAACCACATTAAGCACGTTTACTATATTAATAAACAATAAAACTTAAGTGAGGAAAGGAGAGGCTGCAGTTTCAGTCACAGGACTGTCATTCTTTACTCATCTAGGAGAGGAGCGATATGACAGAGATATGACAGAGATATAACTCACTTGGCATCTTTGGGAGGTAACAAGATTTTTAGATGGCTACATTTAAATCAACTCAGAGAGTAAAGTAGCAGTCGGGTAGAATATAGCTTAGTGTGTTACATAAATAGGGATCTTATGGTAAAATACTAAGCCATATTATATATTCATTTAAAACTCACTTATAAAAATAATTTGAGGTGGCATCTAATAAAAATGCAGCACAAAAGAATATTAAGGCCATTGATTGTCACATAGTAAATCTTCCATTAGTGTTTGTAAAACTGACTTTTCAGTCAGAAGCCAGAGGCCAACTAAAAGGTCAAAATAATTAAAAAGTAGCTAGTGCCTTCAGGACAAAATTTTGAAAACAGGTTTCTTACTCCTGAGGTATTTACCCTGTAATGCTTCCCAGTTATATGTAGTTTGAAGTACATCAAAAACAGGTTTTACGCCTAATAGATTTGTGTCTGAATCCCAAATTTACCAATTACCACTTGTGTGATCTACTAAATTAAACGCTGGAGGGCAGAACAGGTGTCTTATTCAACCTTAGATTCCCAGAGGGCTCCCCCTCAACCCCCTGCAGGTAAAGCATAGTTCTTCCATCAGCACAGAAATCAGGATTACCTGGGAAAAGGGAGTATTGTTAGTTTTCCTAGAGTCAACTTCTATTGGGATTAGGGTCATTTAAAAATGAAAGAAGACAAGGAAGAGCACACTAAAAAAAACAACAACAAAAACCCAAACCACGTTGATGGGGGCACATAGGAGACAACAGAAAAAGCTCCCAAAGGCCAAAGCTGGGACAATTTGAGCCACAAAATGAAGCTGTATTGGATTACAACCTAAAAAGTGTAAAATAGATATCCATGTGTCCACACTAATAAAAATAAAGGACTGAGTTAATTAATAAAATGTGGGGAGAGGCAAATCTCCCTTGCAGAACTCCAATTAAATTAGTAGATAATCAGCCCTTGAGGAGGTCTAACTCCCCACTCCTTTCCTGCACACAGAACATAGGGATTTCCCTTCGGGATGTCCAGTATGACAGGGGTGGAAAGAATCACTTACTGTACAGTGAGGAAACCTGACAAACACTTCAGCCAGATGATCAGGTGATCAATGTCAACAAAAACACACATACATCATGTTGACAGTATATCCCCTTGGTATGATGTGATGCATATGGCACTCTGTGATCTTCCTTCCCCAGACCCCAATCTAATCATGAGAAAAACACAAATTCCAAAAGAGTAGCATCGTGTGTTCCTGACCAGTACTTCTCAAAACTATCCATGTTGCCGAAACAAGTCAAGTCTGAGAAACTGTTACAGCCAAGAAGAGTCTAAGAAGACATGGCTACTAAATGGAACACAGAGTCCTGGATAGGATCCTGGAAAAGAAAAAGAACACTTGGTAAAGTATAAGGACATGTGAATAAACTGTGGGCTTCAGTTAATAATACTGCATCAATATTGGTTCAATAATATAACAAATGTATCATACTATTGTGTGTGTGTTGGTGGGGGACAGTGAAATATGGGAACTCTCTTTTACTATCTGCTCATTTTTTCTGTAAATCTAAAACAGTCATGAAAAATACCTTCTATTAATTCAAAAAATTAATCACAGGGAAAAAGGACATTAATAGCCAAAAAGTAAAACCTTAAATGGCCATCAACTGAGGAGTGGGTAAACAAAATGTGGTATATCAATAGAATATTATTTAGCAACGAAAAAGGAGCAAACTGCTGATACATGCTACAACATGATGGATCATGAAAGCATTGCAGTAAATGAAAGGAGTCCAGAAAGGAACATCCACAGTGACAGAAAGTAGGTGAGCATTTGCTGGGGGCTAAGCGCAGGGAAAATGGGTAATAACTGCTAATGGATACAGGGTTTCTTTTAGGAGTGAGGTATATCAATATTAAAACAAAGAGTTGTATCAATGAAGATTAAATTGAATGCTTTGGAAAGACTCCATTATAGCATGCCACTCTGAAAAAAAAGAAAAGAGAAGAATTCTTCCTATACAGTCCCATCAATTCTTCAGTGTTGCCTTAAGAATCAAAAACTTTAGATTGACACTCCTGCAACATTTAACATGGGGCCTAGTGCGTAATGGGCACTCAATAGTATTTAATGGTTATTTCTTTTCTAACACTGAGAAGGTTTTTTCCTGAACAAACCTATTGAGCTCACAAGACACTGTCCTAATTTGAAAAACAAACCTTTCTAAACTAATTTAGGAAGGATGGTGATGTCTCATTTCTCCATTTCACTCTGAAAATTAAAGGCAATTTGAGGTCATTACTTAAAACGTAAAGTTGATCCCTATATTAAGACTAACTGTGAGAAAAAAATCTAGTGTATCTTTCTCAGCAACAGGACAATTAACTACAAGCCCTTTCTGGTCTAGAAGATATGAATCCAGATGAATTATTTGTCAAAGAACACTATTAAGTATTATCACGACTACATAAATTATAAAGCAAATTAAAACCTTTAGGAAGAAGATACAATTACCTAGGCTCTGTTGTGTGCCAGGAGCTGAGCAGGGTGCGTTACAAACCTAGTTAATACAACAACCTTGAATGGTTGCTATGATCACCATCCACTTTATAAATAGGGAAACTAATCTCAGAGAAAATACTTTGCCCAAGGTTACACAGCCAAGAAGCAGCAGAGCTGGAATTAAAGCCCAGATTGACTCTAATTTATCAGCTGACTTTCTATTGGGCAATATGCTGCCACAAAACATGGGTATTTTCTCAACCATGAATTAAGAAAATGGATTCGGGGCAAATAGATGAATATAGAAAAATTATATATATAAAAGACACAGAATGCAGAGGAAGGGACCTAGATAATCTAATCAACTGACCTGCCTCCATATACTGGAACTATTCAATTCTTCTACTTATAATTCTAAAAAAATTCAAAACACCATTTGATAGCCTTGTCTGATATTTAGCAACTATTAGTTTGGGAAAGCTCTTCTTGAAATTCCTTCCAATGCTATTTTCCTACAATTTGAGAAATGTTAATGCTGGCCTGGCCTTTAGTAGGAATAGGAGAAAAGTAAAGATTGTTGAATTATCAAGTTATCTGCAGTTATATCTGAAGGTTTGTACCTTGTCACTTTCTAGCTTATACTAAAAATTAAAGAAGTTAAAAAAAAAAGTTAATTTAATACTAGGAGTAAAATCTACTTAAAATTAAAAGCCCTACAATAAGAATCTTCTAAATATATTACAAAGTAAATGGCTGAAGTTTCACTACATTATCAGTAAGGCCTAGAATTGACTAAAAATAAGAGATGGTACCAATTAATTTATTTGATTCAGATTTCTTCCACCTATATGTCTCTAGCCACAACAAATCTTTTATTTCATTTAATAAAAATGGTGACATTATTTGCTTTCAAAATTTTTTGTTAATATATCTATGAAGTTCTAAAGGAAAATGACAATGTTGAAGTATGTTTTATCATCATTATTATGAATAACTTCCATGGATGAGAAAATCAGCATATGTAAACTCCAAAGCCAGTTCTGAAAGATCTTTTTGTGAAACATTTGTCTATTAAAAAACACTTAAGAGAATATTATATTTTATTGTATAAATGTCAAATGTTTTATAGTACTGCTTTACTATATCTTATGTATTCTATAAAATAAATATAATTTTAACATACACTGGAATTCATAACAGAAGTAATGCAAAGAACAGATGCTTGATATACACCCAGTAGGAAACATATTCCTAACATTATCATCCAATCCTTTTGCTAAGAAATGCTTCTATTTTACAGACAAACTTGATCTTCTTTAAAGTATGTTGTCCACCGTTTTTCTGTTTCTGTCACAGTAGCTATAAATAGTTGTTTAAGGATATCCTTATCTAAATTTCTGCCTGCAAAGACAACAAAATATGGTGATTATACTATGCTTATTAAAATGACAGTTTACCAATCAATTCCTGATAAATGTTTGATGATCTTCAAAATTTAAAAATGATAGTAATTGAGTGACTCCTTTTCTAACTTTCCAGTTAAATCCTTCAGAACCCAACTGACACTTGGATTAATCACTTTCCTAAGGTTGTTTGAAGAGTAAAAGGTCTAGCAAGTTCTTATTACCATTATAACCACAAGTTTATTTAGGTTTACAAAGGAGCTTCTGATTGGTTAATACTGCTTAAGTGGCACATTATATTCCTTTCAAATATATTTTCCACGTTGCTTTAGAAATTTAACTGCTTGTAACTTACCAATAAGAACCAGCCGATTTGTTCTCTCAGTGTCATCTCTCCAGCTCACTGGAGTCTCCTCCAGATCATACAGCTCATAGACACCTTGGACAATCACTTGCTGTGGTTTGTCTTTGATCGACACCAGCCCCTGCTCAGAGGAGAATGATTAGTCAGCCTCGATGTGAATTTAAAAGCAGAAATCAAGCATTGATATTAATGGATTAATTTTTCCTATTCCTTTTCAAACTACAAACTCATAAAAATAAAGATGCTGTTAAAATTACTTTTCTCCAGTTATTTGTAAATTAGTTTCTTAAAGCCTCCAATTTTTTAAAAAGTTTCTGTGCACATTGATTTTTTTCTAATGACAAAATTAACATATGTATTAGGATGTCCTTTCAGTGTTAGCACAACAAAAAATTGAAAGAACAAAATGATAAAACATAGTGTATCAGATTCTACTGATTATTCTACTTTTAAGAATTTCATATTTGTTTCACAGTTTTAGTGGGAAAATTAGATAAGTTAAAAGATTTCTGTGATAGCTTTCGGATGAGCTGCAACAAATGGAGTAGATAATGAAATACAGAAAAAGAAAAACTATTATATTTATCTGAATAAAAGTTTATTTTATATTGATTTGCAGAAATGAGGAACAAATTATCTATTAAACTGGCTCCTATGGAGATGAAATCATTTCTCTGAAATATCTGTTATACATGTTTGTTATAAAATTAATATACACTGAGAAATAGTAAAAGACAGATCACTGATAGTCATTCCCACCACACAGGTTTGTGTATTTTTGGTGTATTTATGTATTTTGGGTGTATGTTCTTCCAGTTTGTCTTTGCCTGTGCCCAGTTGTTTTCTGGTTCTTTTCCCAGTTTCACTGAGATATAACTGCCATATAACATAATAGTAATTTAAGATATACAACATATAATGATTTAATTGTTTTCTGCTTTTTGAATTTGAATATATAATAACAAACTCCTCAGGAAGATTTACCTAAGCGTTAATTTTGTATTAAGATTTGAAACATTAGCTGTTTACTAGAGTTAACATTTTCAACATGCTGACTACTGGTAACAGGAAAGAGAAGGAAGTCAATGAAGATAAAGACTGTGTTGCTCCAGATCCCCCAGTGTTGTGATGAGAGGAAGTCCAAAGGCAGAACCAAAGAGGACAACTGCAGAAAGACTGTCATATGTAAGGACGACTCCAACCTGGGATGGTGCAGAAAGAGCCACAGAACTGTGTGTGGAGGTCTTGGTGGCAGCATTAGTGTAACGCCATAATGGCTGTTTTCCTGGGTACCACCCCTTATTCAGTACTAGGGGACAAAGCAGTTACAGAATGAAATATGATCTGCCATTAGGATCATGGAATGGAGATCGTGCTACGATCATAATGCAGGACCAGGTGGGAAGGATATGGGATTCACCTGTGTTGCTCTGCAGTGCCACTCCCAGGTAGGCCAGCACAAGGAGTGAAAAAATAACCTAAACAGTTTCTCCATAGTATCAACCTTTGCCGTTCTAGTGACCCCAGGAGTCAGTCCCTAGCTGGAGAATCTAGTTACTAAAAGTAATAATAATAAACAACAACAATAAAAAGTTTATGCACTTCTGAATAAACAAGAAGGGTCACTCAAATAACTGCTGATGGGTTAAGCACATAACCTAGAACCACTGCCCCTGGAAAAAACACCTTTCATGACACAAATACCCAAATGTGAAGTAATAAGAATGGGTTTCCAAACACAGAGCAAGAATTCTAGTCTTTTATAATTTTGCTTATAGTATGACAAATGTTTAGCGTCTGCTAGAAGCATCAAGAAGCATAAGATTTGGCTGCAGCAAGATTTCTACTATTATTTATCTATTAATGTAGCTCTCTTGAAAAAAATAAACACAGGAAAACATTCCGTTTTCTCGAACTGACTAAGCTGTGTGCCAAGGGGAGGAGGGTTTCATTCAACAGGTCAAGCTCATGAGCCAGATAACTGTTCAGAAATTCTGGGAGTAGAGAGCACAGGGTAACATTTCAAAGCACATGGGTTGTTTTAGCTACAACCCTAAATGAAGCTGTGCAAATAAATCATGCTTTATGCAGTGATTTCCAAAGCTTTTCAGCAATGGAAATAAGGAAAATGAAAACAGACTAAGGTTATTTATACTAAAACCAGTGCTTCTGTTTGAAACCAAATATGCTTTTATATAACAGCCAAGAAAGGGACTCTGTCCAAAAATATAAAACTGTCAACTGTATACTGCACCTTTAGTCGTATGACCTCCATGCAGTCATCATCCTTATTCCTCACATTCTTTTCCCATAGAAGATTCTGTATCAAATGACATATGTTAATAAGACCAACCATTGCTGCTTGCAACAACTATGTAACAATACAGTTGATAAATCATTAATCAGTTAACTACTGCATTCACCTGAATAAACACATTGAGACTTTCTTCCTTTGCATTTCCTGGCACTTCAAATGTGACTGTAATAATACTCTGTAAATCAAGAGAAAGAATCAATAATGACTTTTCTATAGTAAAAGTGATTTTTTTTTTAAATCACAAGTTTTAAGATGAAAAGGAACACATTCATAGAAATCCACGTTGCCTAACAATACATATTTTTGCATAACTTTTTCACTATTATTTGCTGATTTTTGGTATAAGCAACTCCATTTTTTATATTCTGAACAGCTGATCAATGGTTTAGCACTGACACAGAGAAACTGTCATAAAAGGGTACTCATTGCCTAGCCAGGCGTGGCTCAGTGGTTGAGCATCGACCTAGGATCCAGACGATCGGGGTTCGATTCCCGGTCAGGGCACATGCCTGGGTTGCGGGCTCCATCCCGTTGGGGGCATGCAGGAGGCAGCAGATCAATGACTCTCTCTTTGTCGATATTTCTATCTCTCTCTCCCGCTCCTTTCCTCTCTCTGAGATCAATAAAGATATATTAAAAAAAAAAAAAAGGGTACTCATTTAATTCATTCTTTCCAGGATTCTCAGTGCTAAAAGGGAAGGTAATACATATATATTATCAGCTGTAAGTACTGAGCCAGGCACTTTTGCCTGGGTCACTTCATTTTATCTCTCATTTATGTGTGATGACAATCCTGTGGAATAAAGATAATTATTTCCATTTTATAAATTGCGGAAAATGAGGCTCAGAAAAAACAAACTACCCAGAGCCAGATGTAACACTCAAAAGCAAAAGTTTAATTCTGTCCTTTGGAAAAAATAAATATAAAGGAAAAGTTTGGTTTCTTTCTGACCAAGCATGTGACCAAGGGAGAAGAGTTCCCAGAGATGAGAATGGATAGTACGTCATCTTTGGTTTTAGAGGATGACATCATCATTTATAGCATGTTAACTCTGAGATTTATTTTTCCTCCTGATCTCGATAAATCTGTCTACTCTAAGGAACCAGAAGCTTGAGATTTCCTCTAGCCAGTCACATAATTAAAACCCCAAACCTCCATTTTCTACAGTAACCCAAAGTTTTACACTTGATGATGAAAAGGCCAAAATCATAACCTGATAAAGGCACAGCCCCCCTCTTGGATAATGAACATAAAGCTCAAGCCAAGCTTTAAAACAGGCAGAAAAACATACTAAAGCACAGCTCTCCATCATCCCCTAGAACCATGTATCTTAACAGCAATTTTACTCACCAGCAGAAAATCATATTGGCTTATAGTAAAAAATATGAAAAGACCAGAACTGTTTTTTATCTGAACACAGTTTGAGAAGAGCTAAAGGTAAATATTAAAGACCATGGTAAGCACAAAACAGAGTGGCAGTTTAATGAGTCCTATTATCCTTTAAAAAGTGAGATTAGATGGCCTCAAAGGCATTCACATTCTAAAAACTGTCAACACAGTTCAAAAATACAATTTTAGAAAGAGTTCTAATAAAACAGTCCTAACAAGAACCAATTTAGTTAAAGAGATACATTAAACATATTTTTAAGATTTTACCTGATCAAGGTGAGGTTGTATTGCTGGCAATTGTTGAAGTTTTTTCTGCAAACTAAGAACAACTGATTATATATTCAGATATCAATATATTTTTCACTTAACCTTGTACATTTCTTAGTGATAAAGCTACATAAGGAAGAGAATATCCACAGTTGAATCTATTACATAGTTTACGTGTTATTAACATATTCTAAGAGAAACATTGGCAGATTATTTTAAAGCTTTTCTTAAAAATGTCTACACATTCACATACATGAACACAATATAAAGAAAAACTAATCTTTAGCAACAATATTTTGTGTGGTTAAATATGTCAGTAGATTTCTTTTTAATTCCAAAAGATCTAATACAGGCCTAGAAAAATACACATAAGCATTTTTACTATTGTTTAAAATTTCATCAACTCTCCCCATGCTTCCTAATGTGAAAATTCTGGTACCCAAATAAAGTTAGTAAAATAAATTTTCTTTTATAAATGTTTTCCCTTGAACATGACTACTTAGTAAAAAACAAACAGGATCCATAAATATAACCCTTCTATACAGTCAGTTTCTGGTAAAAACAAAAAGCCAGAATCTTAAAAAATACATTGTTCTGATATGGAAACAGCGAGATCAAGATGGCATAACAAATTATAACCATAACAACTGTACCGCACATTTAGACACTGATGGGGGTAGGTTGGGAGGAGGGAAGGACTTAAAACCTTGCAGATGTTTTGCCCTGAAGAACAGCGAGGGGTAAATTAGTAACAGCAAGTTTAGGAAAGAGAAAAGGCTTGTAGGAACTGTTGGAGGGAAATGAGTCTCAGTGGGGGGTCTTAGTAGGAAAAGTGTCAAATTAAACCTTCCCAGCTGGTTGCTCAGGAATGGATTCTCCTGTTCAACAACTAAGTACAATGAAAAGTATGCAAAGGCCTTACCCATTGTGGGGCCATCACACTAAACAGCTACTTCTTTAAGTGTCACTAATGCATTATAACTGCTCTTTCCCTACATTCAATATTTAATGTTGTTGGACAATGACTGCTTCAATAGGGGAGGAAAAGTTTTCTTCTACCCTCTTCAGGTCCCTGGCTGGGTCTGAAAATTAGACTAACAAAGACAGAGTAGCAGGAGGAAAGCACACAATTAAGTTTTACGTGACACAGGAGCCTTCATAAAGAAATGAAGACCCAAGTAATGGTTACGTCTGGGTGGTTTTAGGCCAGGTTTGATGAAGAGTGGAAAGTCATAGGAAGACAGGACAGAACAGAGTATGAGCCAAGTGTAGTAAGTTGGAGGAAACTCAGTAAGGCCCGCTCCTTCAGATTCCTCTGTGCGTCCACTTGTCTTCAGAGACAAGGATGCTCCTTTCCTCCTGGCATAGGGAGGAAACCTCTCAGAAGAGTTTTATTAACTCATCTACTTCAGTGGAAATGAAAAACATTTGCAAATCTTATGTCTGATAGGAGTTATTACCAAGAATATACAAAAAGCTCCTACAACTCAGTCACAACAAAATCAAATAACCTGATTTTAAAATGGGCAAAGTACTTAAATAGACATTTCTCCAAAGATGATATACAAATGGCCAACAAGCATATGAGACAATGCTCAACACCTCTAACCATTACAGAAATGCAAATCAAAATCACAATGAGGTATCACCTCATAGCCATTAGGACAGCTACTACCAAAAACAACAGAAAATAAGTATTGGGAAGATATAGAGAAATTAAAACCCGTGTGTGTTGTTGGTGGGAATGTAAAATGGTGCAGCTGCTATGGAAAACAGTATGGTGGTTCCTCAAAAACTTAAAAATAGAAATACCATAGGATACAGCAATCTCACTTTTGGGTACATATCCAAAAGGATTGACAGCAGTATCTTGAAGAGATATAAGCACACCCATGTTCATAGCAACATTATACACCTATGGGGGAATATTATTTAGCATTTAAGAAGGAAATCTTTCTATGCTAAAAATGGATGAACCTTGAGGACTAAGTGAAATAAGCCAGTCACAATAAGACAAATACTGTTTGATTCTACTTATATGAGTATCAACGTAGTCACATTCATAGAAACAGATAATAGAACAATGGCTGCCAGGGGCAGTGGGGAGGGGAAAATACAGAGTTATCACTTAATCGGTGTAGAGTCTTAGTTTTGCAAAATAAAAAAGTTCTGTACATCCATTCCACAACAATGTGAATATACTTTACTGAACTGTACACTTAAAAATGGTTAAGATAACTTTTTGAAAAAAAGATACTGATGTCCAGGGAAGAAATTTACATTCTCCTTTTCCTTATCAAAAAGATTCCCTTTGGGAAAGAGGCAGGAAACTGATCTATCACTGAGAGGAAAGGAAGTATCTGTGATAACACCTCAAGCTAAAATTTTCTATGTGTTTCATGCATTTTGTCATAGAAAGTATTACATATATTCGGTGTAGCAATATTAACAATTAGTCTCTAAAATTAACCACCATTTACACTATAATTTCTATAGGAAAATGTACTGTGATTTCCAAATACCCAATTTTCAAAATTTCCAAGAACATAATCATTAGGAATGGTATTTTATGTCAAAAGGATGACAGGAAGCTTAAATCAAGTGTGCAATTCTTTAAATCATTCCTGTAACTCCTATAACTTTGGAATGATAGGAACATTACAATAAAAATGACCAAAATACAGGAGACATACCTTATTCCAGAGAGACTGTCAAAGGCATGAAGATCTAACACATTAGAGAGATCAACTCTAAAAGAAAGAAAACCAATGTAACACTGTGAAATTCTTTACTCCCCTCCCTCCTTGATATATAACAGGTAATGCTGTAAGAATGTGAGGACTCAAACAGGCCACTATATCAGAAATATTCACTCTAGGACCCATATCTATATCCAAGAATGTGATTTGATTCCATTTCCTTCAGAATGGTGTTGCATATAGACTGAAACTTCCTACTTAGTGCTCTATCTGAATAAACATTATATTGGAATTATTTAGTAGTAATTAATTAAGCCTTATTATGAAAGCAAGTATTCAAATCAGAAGAGAATCATACTAAAACTAGCAATAGGTTTTTTTTAAACACATAAATTTCTAAAGACTAGTGACTGAGTTCCAATTTTTACATGACCCTACTAAACAGAAGATGGTGATTTCTCTATAATCAAAGCTACAATGAAAGAATGTTTAAAGAAAATGACAACCGTATAATTAAATTTCAAAATTAGATTCCAGGAACTTGCCAAACATTTATTAAATTTTCTCACAAGGAAAATCAAACTTTGTCAAAGTCAAGATTTTGAAAAATGCGTGAACATGTAAGCTAAACCACCTCCTTTAACTTCGCCCTGGCTGACCAGCTGTGTCTGCTTTGCTCATTCTCAACAGTCTGCCATATATTCACATTTGTGCCAACAATAGTCTGTTAGATTATGGATGCTTATCCTGGCACAAGGCAGACAAATTCCCATCTTATTAAAAGAAGAATACTCCAAAGTTCTGGGTTAATAGGCTGTAACAATATTTCAAATATTGGACATTCTACATTAGCAGAATTAGGAAAATGATCAAGTAAAAAAGTAAATGTTCCATGAAAAATTTTTTAATTGAGAATAAGGCAAACATAAAGGGGGAAGTAAAGAACTTCCAAAGTTCATCTTTTCTCATTTCTTGAGCTATCTATGGCAGGAGTACCTAATCAATGAAGGCTTTCAATTGTCCCTATGTCTAAAGAATGCTTTAAGTAGCCTAAGAACAGGGGCAGGAGAATGACAGGGAAGAGAGCTCTGGCTGTCCAAGGTGGAGAGAGGAGTGCAGGGCCTACTCCTGGGATATTGTCTATAGTCATCTTTTCAAAGTTCAGTGAGTCTCATGAACAGGGGCCACCAGCCAATTCCAGATCTATGAATTGTCAATACCACCCAATAGCTAAGTAAATCCTAAACTCTAGAATTAAATTGCCAAATGCTTTCCCCAGTGGCACCTCAAATTTCTATAGAACTGAACTAATCGCCTTTACTAAACCCACTGCTAACAACACCCTACCCAAAAAGTTGCTCCTCCCTTCCTGTATTTCCCAACTTGGAAGAAATGCACCATATTCAATTCATTTCCCAAGAGTCATCCTGCTTTTAAAATCCTTCACTAACTCCTTGCTGCCTACAGGAGAAAATCCAAATTATGTATCATAGCATCAAGACCCTCTGTGGTAAGCTCTCCACTTCTTGTTATGTCTCTTTTTCTCACTGCAAGGTAATATACATGTTTTAGCCATTCTAAAATATCCACAGGTCCCTTAGGCCTAGAAAGCTATAGCTGCTCTTGTCCATCTGGAAAACTCCGATTCACTTTTCAATACTCAGGTCAATGATCACTTTCTCAGTCAAAATTTTCTGACTCTTCATCAAGAAGAGTGAGTAATTGTTCCTCTATCTTCCTCTTACAGGAGCCTGTGCACTTAATATTCCTGTTATATTAATAGTATCTGATATATTGGTTTTTGCTTGTTTGCTTCTGTCTCCCTCAAATGACGGATCTCCTTCAAGGCTAAGTTTTTACCTTATCCATTGCTTAAATCCTTAACATGCCACAAAATGCCTAGCAACTAGCAGAATTCTCAATAGACAATTTGTTGAATAGATTAACTTATCATTAATAAATTGGATTTTGGTTTACCTCTGGTCAGTCCATTTATATCTCCAAGAATTTTTAAAAGTCCAAGAAAGGTAAGAATGGGACTCCTAATCTTCCCCTCCTGCTTCTGAATTCTGTGTGGTCCATTAGAACTCCCATTTGCCTCAAAGTCAACTTAAGACTTAACAATAAACAATGCTACACATCATTCTCATTCCTTAACTTATATAGTCTGAAGGTAACCTTTTCTTACACATGCTTATAGCAGCTTTACTATCGTCAGTTTTACTATTGTCAGCACTGTCAACCACAAGATGCTTAAGGAATTAAACACACCACACACAATAAAACAAAACTTCCATAGAAGTGATTTCAACTATTTTGTTAAAAACCAAATCTCTAGTTTCTAAACTGGCAAGTTCAAGTTGCTATGCCTCAAGGAATTTTGGGAAATATTTAATATAAGATTCAGGACCTAATAGTAAGAATTCTACCATGGAGTTCTGATCTTCACTGAAAAGGATCCTAATCCAACATCAATGCTCAACACAAGAAGTACTTCAGAAAGTCCCTAGATTCTCAGATGCACTGGCAAACACCAGACACTGAAGAAACAGAAGAAAAAGGAGGTTTTATTCCCTTCAGTCATCCATTTGAAGTAACAAAATGTAATCACTGCATGTTTGCTGTTCTATAACATCACAGAACAAATGTTAGAAATGTTATACAAACACCAAAACTGGTACATAACAAAATATTCAAGATGAAACCTTTATGCAGGACATAAAGGTACTAACAAAAAAAATTGAGCAAGATAAGTCCATGGACCGTTAAAAAACTGATTTAAGATGTTTGTAAATATGAACCAAATAAATACTATTACATCAGAACCACAGCTATTTATGGACATGATTTTTAAAACCTTATTTAAGCATTATACAGTTGTCTGTCATTTTATAAAGAAGAGAAAAATTAAGGAGAAAGGAAATGGTAAAACGCAATAGGAAGAAGACAGATACTAAAGAATGGTTCATGGTATGAGTTAGGTTATCAGAGATTTTCTACACAGGAATTTGAAATGCAAGGAGCACATTTGGTGTGTGCTTGTAGAGAATGTCCACTCAGGGCATTCTGCTACCTCTGCCAGCAGACGAGTGGCTCCTGAGAACACATACCAAATTAATTCCCCAGCTGCTGACACGCACGTAAGCAGCTGCTGCTGCTACTGCCTAACACTTATGGTAGTCTGTCAGCACCTCTAATCTCTGCCATAGCAGACGAGCCACTCAATTTAGGCCTCTGCTGCACTTTCAAGGAAAGAATCTCTGAATTAAAACCTGGGTGGCACTAGACTACAAGCTATGAGTCTCAGAACTGCTGGCTACATGTTGCTGGGTCTATCAGCTGCTGAGCCATTCTCACACACCCACAAAATGAGTTTAACAAAATACTCCTGGTACAGAAATGTCCTGAAATCATGATAACATTCAATGGAAAACAGAGTTCAACTTACAGAAATCCATTTTATAGATGTTTTAAGAACAGAGAATTTTATAAAGTAATGCAGATCTGTATAAACACAATGGAAAGGGAGCCTACAGGAAATGGGAATCAAAATTTTTGAAAAGAGAATGTATCAGGAACTTAAATAATGTCATATATTTTTACATGACATTGTTTTTGCAGCCATGAAACACTAAGAAGGTTTTTAAAAGTATTAAAAAGCTATTTAGATACAGTATCTCAAATTAAAAGATTCCTAATAATATACTTTTTTCAGATTTCTATACTAGTTACTTTCATAAGTGGCTGAAAGTCCTGTTTTCTTCTTCATTAAGCAGAAGCACAGCTACACAGTGTTGTATCATGGCTCTATAGTCTTAGTTACAAGGAGAAGCAAATATATTAAATAAATATGCCAAACTAATTTATAAAGAACACTCAAAACAACATTTCTGGGCCTTATCTGTAAAAATTCACATGTGCCCTAGCCAGGTGGCTCAGTTTCTTGGAGTGTCCTATGCACCAAAGGGTAACGGGTTTGATTCCCGGTCGGGGCGAATATGGAAGGCAATCAATGGTTATTTCTCTCTCACATCAATTTTTCTCTCTCTCTCCCTCCCTCTAAAAATCAATTTAAAAAATGCACATGTATTTTTCTTATATTAGAATAAAGTATATTTATCAATTATTTATTATTAACTAAAATTATTGTTAATATCACTAATAGTTTTTTAAAAGTACCTTGATCTTTGTGTTTCTATAATTTTCCCCAGTCCATTTATTGATCTGAAATAAATTTAAAAATGAGGAAGTAAAAAAAAAAAAAAAAGTTAAGTTTTTTAAAAAGCACACAGAGCACATTATTTCTAAATATGAAGTAAGCACATACAAATATATCTGGAACTAGAAAAGAAAACATAAAAATAGGAAAACAAAACTTGCATATTTTATAATTTAATTACTCTTTTCCTTCTAATCATAAGTCAGGTATATCGTACTGAGGCATTAAAACATGATATGCAAAAATTTACTGCACAACTCACAGACTAGGATAGGGGCTACTTTGTGATTTATAAAAACACCTTCACTTTAGAAAATATGATTCATAAAATAGCTAGTGATTCTAATGCTCTTAAAATGAGTAAATAAGTAAAAAATTTTATTGATACCCAATATTCCCCAAGCATTGTTGGTGAAAATAACTATACACACGCTAGAAATCACCTGGCTCTGAGTGGCTGTGACTCCAGCCTGTCCTCAGTACTCACAGTAACACTAAGTCACACATCCAGGTTCTTTTAGAGAGTAACTTCTTCAATTCCCTGAGTAGAATCTCTCCCACTCTGCCAGCCCTCCCCATTCTGATACTAAGATAATAAAATAAGGCTCTCGTTATAAGGCACCAAAAATACTTGTTAAATTCTTTTCAACATACTGTACACCTGATGTCGTTATCGTTTTATCAATTCCATTGCCTTTAGTGTTGCTTGCTGATGATATCTGCTTTTTGTTCAAGCTTGTTCTCATGGGTAAGGCTTCCTGCATACAATGATTCTGAGGCAAGTCTCTCCACTATTACAAAATTCTTAATCTTCTCTTTTGAATGTACTCTATAACATGATGGCTATTTCCTCTCAAATATGTTTACCTTCCAACTCCCTCAATCTAATTCCAAGTCAGTTGCAAGTCTGATGTACAATGGAGGGTAAAAAGCCAAAAGGGTCTTTAATTTATCAATGTGCTTTGTCCAAATTCTTTTCTGATATAACTGTACAGTACAGGCTGGCAACAAGTTAGCTAATAGTCAGTCTGGTTGCTACTGGAGATCCAGTTCAGTGAACATGGAAGTAGAAAAGCCCAGTAGTAATAATCTCAGATCCAAAAATGTTTGCTGCATAGATTGTGTTCTTCTTTCTAGCAATCACAATGATGCATAGGATTTTGAAAAGAGAAACAAAATTTAGGAAACTAGTGTCAAAAGGGGTAAAAGAAGTAATCTTTATTCACTGGTTCATCTTTCTAGACTTCTCAAAATTGTCAACAATCTTTCTATTTCTTTCATTTTTTTATTCAATGTAACTTGAAATTACTACAGAAACTAAGAAAAAAAAATCTACAATCTAATAATGGTAAGAGCTAATAGCTCATTTACTACGTGCTGGGCACTGTGCAGTTTACCAACATTATTGCAGGTAATAGTCAAACCAAACTTATAAAGTAGGTATCAATCCTGTTTTACAGATGAGACTTAAAAACAGTGAGAAACAGACCAAAGATTAGAACCCAAGCAGACTCCAAAGTCCATGACCTTAAATACTATGCAATACTATCTGCCCTCCACATGGAGACATTATTACAGTTTTTTATAGTAAAGTCCAAGAGGATATTACTATTAAAATAAGACCAAATATGGAGACCAAATATGGAGACCAAATATGGAGAAAAACATAAATTTTTTTTCTTCTGTAATAGGCAATCTCCGAATGAGTCTCAACTTCATTGATTCAATTTATAACATATACTATATGAACTGGCATTGACAGATTCAAAATCTGATGTCAGCAGACTGTGCCCATTAAAGATAACTAATAATAAAAGCTATTCAATGTCCCTTTATAGGTGGCATTTATTAGTTTAGGTCTTATAAAGTAATTCAAAGTCCCTAAACTCTAACCTCACTTGAAAAGTCCAAATAACTGTTGGATCATTTAACACATACTTGAGTATCATTAATATTATCCTATATTGATTAGCCTTGGCCATGGACACTGCAGACATTAAAACAAGCTGGAAAAAGGTATGGTTAGCTGACAAAGTCAATGAGGGTTTGGGTGAGTGAGACCACATGGGTCAGGGAAGACGTCATAGAGAAGAAAGGGAGAAAAGGTGGAGCAGGGCTGGCTCTAGAGAATGGATAAAATTGCTGGGGTGGGGAGGGGGAGAAGAACAGCAGAAAAGATAAAGGAATGGAAGGACTGGCAGAGCGAGAGTGAGAACACAAAATGAATAATAAAAGGATTTTAGGAGATACATCCATGAAAAAGTAAGTAAATAATCATCCTGGGTACAATTAGAGAACTTGCTGTAAGGAAGAAGTTAAAGAGAAGACAGGTAAAGGACAATGAAGTCAGAGGACCCTGAATATCAGTCCATGAACCCTGAACTATATTCTGTAAGCAATGGGGAATAACCTCATATACTACTATTTACATAACAGTCAATTAGGCAACAACAATATATGTCATTTTCTAATGGTACATGGTAAAAATACTTTGTATAGTCCACTCTGAATTTGTAGGTACTTAACACTTATAATTTTGTACCTAATAGTTGTCCTTAGTTTGTTTAAATCCTCTTCTGGAACCAAGTCAGTTTTATTGATGATGATGATATCTGCCAAAGCAACTTGCCTAAATTAGCAAACAAGAACAGATGTTAAAAGAGAAATGTTAAGAAATTAAAATAGAAATGTCTCCTTCAGATCAATTATCAGTTAAAAACTACATAGTACTCTACACAGTAATCCAACTTACTTCTAACCTACCTATTCTTCAAATGGTAAGAGTAAATTATATTCATCACTATGCAAATTTAGATTTCACATTGTTCATGAGAAATTTACTAAGTGCTTTCACTTGCCACTCTAGAACTACAAAAACAAGCCTCAAAAAGTTTACAATCAAGGATTTTTACAATTAGGATGATTATCAACTCATGATTTTCTTTGTAAAGAAATGCATAAAATTCAGATATCCAACATGGTAAAAATAAGGATAGTCTACTTACTAAAATATTCCATGCAATAGTTACCATAATTTTCAAAGAAATATAGTGAATAGGTTTATTTAACATTAAAACTACATTAAACAGTATTTTTAAAAACTACACTTCAGAAGATTTATCAGGATCTCTAACAAATAACTACCTCACTATGAATATATATTTTCTCTGTAAAACAGATATACAGAAGTTCAGGTTAAAGAATCCAGTTGACAGAAGGCTGAGTAAGAAAATAGCTTACTATAAAGAGAAGTTATATATTCTATTAACAGGAATAGTAAAGCCAAGGAGTCTTTAAATTTTCCCCAATTCTCCAAAAAATTTTAATCACTAGACTGTTCCTAATCCTAGTTTTATGCTACCTGAAGATATAACTGATAAATAACAACCAAATTCTCAAAAATAAATAAATTAAAAGAGCAGGTTTCAATAGTATGCATATCACAATCCCATTATTTTGTTTAAGTAAGTTTTACATGAATAAAGACTAAATGTGCACATCTTAAAATATAAACAGTTACAATCTTTAAACTAGAGGTCTTTTATGTTTAATTTTATTTTGGCTTTTATAACATTTTGCTGTTTTCTATTGGCTTATTTATATTTTTTATAATAAACATTTTAATAAGGAAAAAGTTACAAAAACATTTAAGTTCAGTCTAATTTGAATCATAGCTATATACCAAATACAGTGTTTAGGCAGGATTACAAAACAACAGAGTACCACACTCCAAAACTATAGGGAATTAATCACTTGCAATCTTCATTATTTATGTCTGGATCATATATAGCAAATCTCATGGGAGCTCCCCCTTAAACCAGCAGCATATTTAGTAACTGTCATTTATACAAAAACCCTTTTCCCATTAGCAAGAATATGCTTAGGGTAGGGAAACTAATTTATTAAAATATTTATAAGTCTAAAGACAAACCAATCTGGAGCATAAAGGTATTTAAATAAAAAATGTTCTAAATGCCAAATTAAACCTATATCCATATTGGCTCCTCTGTTGTTCTGAATAAGAGTGAACATTTGAATCAAACAAATTACTGGTAAAGAAGGCAGTAAGTCAGCCAACTTTTTAATAATCATCTCAATCCCAAAGAAACAGTGAGAACAAAAAAATATTTTTAAAAGAAAGTAATTTTAAATGTCAACACTTCCTAAGCTCCTCACAAAGAACTCCTGTGCCCAGCACTCACTTTATGCTATAATAAAAAATAGTTTTAAATAAAATTTAGTTATCAGACCATTATAAATAGTTACCAATAGTTCAACTACAAGAAAAAGATAATAAATTCCTTGACTTGTTTTTATATTTCTGTCTGTTTTTTGTTTTCATATTAATAATTTTCTCTTTCCAATTAGCCAGTAATCAATATATACTTTAAATATGAATACCTAGAAGCTTCATTGATAAGGCCATCAGGTTTTTCTTCTGTTAAATGCTAAACGAAAACAAAGTTTGAAGAAAGTTACTGTGGGATGACAAAATCTAATGTCAACACAAAGGATTTTACTTCAGAGACTCCCTTCCTGCCTCTGATAAAGACTTCAACAAGCTCTATTACTGAATACACAAATTAGTTCTTCTCCATTTGCAATTTTTTCCCTACTGTGACCCTATAGGGTGTGTTTTGTTTTGTTGTTTTTTTTGGGGGGG